CCTGTTGCTCCTTTGGCCAATAAATGAAAAGGAAAGGTGGAAAAAAGAAGAAGAAGAAGCAGTTGTGTGAGAGTGAAGTAGAGAAAGTGAGTGAGTGTCATTTTCTGGCATGGGTTTTGCTGTCTGCTCAGTTTTCACGGCCCGCGGTTTTATTAGACTTTCCGCCAGGCTGCGGGCGAGGTTAAACGGCCACCGCTGCCCCGTTTGGGCTCAGAACCTCCTGTCAGCTCCCCTCTCAGTTCCCCTCGCCCGTCTCCACCCCCTCCTTCTGGCTGTCCCAGAGTGCCGCTGCCAGTAAAGGAAACACATTAACACCAGCGCCTGTAACAGAGCGGGCTTTGTCCAAGGCCAGGCGGGCTCGTCCATTAGCCCCACGCTCCGCTCCACGCTGCACCAATTAGAGATGGCAGGGCGCTGAGCCACTCTAAACAGAGGTGTGAGCTTTACAAGGAGACTACAGGTGTGCTCAGGGGGAAATAATAGACTTTATTACTGATTGGTGTACTGTGCTACACCTTGTACCCCTGACACCTTTTTTAAAAGCCAAATGGGCTTTACAGGGTTCAGACGACCTGCGTTTAACCTGCAAACTCAAATTAGCTTTGGATGTTGGATCAAATCAAGCCTCAGCTTTTAATTTACTTTAGTCACCAGACTTAGCTCTTGATGCAATGCTTTGGTTCAGTTGCAACACATAGGACTGCCCATGATATTTTTTTTTCTCAATTCTAATTAAAAAAAAAAAAAAAAAGCTCAACACAGATGTTTTAAACTTGACACCCCTGCTATAAATACGTTTGATTTAATGTGTTTTTTGGGGAGGACTGTATTTAATTAAACACAGATTCAGAAAATTTTGTTAAATATCTAAAGGGAACATTTGTTTTAAATATATCACAGTTTAAAAAATTTAACACGATTAAACTTGGCATTTTTAATTAAAATTTTGGTGTGACGTTACAATAAGGCTCCCCTTATATATATATACTAATAAATAGTTTAGAGATATGTTATTAATTAATCTGTAAACACTTTATACATCATTAATAACTTCTTATTATGCATTAATTAAGGGTGACAGAGAGACAAAACTGACCAGTATCTTGCCAAATAGCGAGCCAAATCTGTTCACCTATATATTCCATCTAGAGTTGTTATATTAAACATTTCTGATGCTTGTAAGCACAATAAGCATTTGTAAACCTATTTTTTTTTAGGGTATAGTATTAGTTGTGGATACGTATAATGCAGTGATAAAGTACAATATTATATGCTAAAAAAGATAGGTTTACAAATGCTTATTGTGCTTACAAGCATCAGAAATGTTTAATATAACAACTCTAGATTAATTATATAGGTGAACAGATTTGGCTCTCTATTTGGCAACAAACTGGTCAGTTTTGTCTCTGTCCCCCTTAAATAATGCATAATAAGAAATGATTAATTATTTACAAAGTGTCTGTAGAGGAATTAATAACATATATATAAACTATTAGCCATCTTAAAGGGGAGCCTTATTGTTAAGTGGTTCCCAAATTTTAAATGAGGTAATAATGATTTTATATATATATATATATATATATATATATATATCCATCCATCCATCCACTTTTACCCGCTTCTTCCATTTTGGGTCACGGAGGTCGCTGGTGCCCATGTCCAGCAATCACTATGTGAGAGGCGGGGGACACCCTGGACGGGTCAATCACAACATCATGGCTACGTAGGAGAAGGATCCGGGTACTGAAATGGCCAGCCTGCAGTCCAGATCTTTCACCTATAGAGAACATTTGGTGCATCATAAAGAGGAAGGTGCGACAAAGAAGGCCCAAGACGATTGAACAGTTAGAGGCCTGTATTAGACATGAATGGGAGAGCATTCCTATTTCTAAACTTGAGAAACTGGTCTCCTCTGTCCCCAGACGTCTGTTGAGTGTTGTAAGAAGAAGGGGGGATGCCACACAGTGGTAAAAATGGACTTGTCCCAACTTTTTTGGGATTTGTTGACGCCATGAAATTTGAAAACAACAGATTTTTCCCTTAAAATGATACATTCTCTCAGTTTAAACTTTTGATCTGTGATTTGTGTTCTATTCTGAATAAAATATTAGATGTTGGCACCTCCACATCATTGCATTCAGTTTTTATTCACAATTTGTTTAGTGTCCCAACTTTTTTGGAATCCGGTTTGTATATAGAAATGCGAAACAGTAAATCTTCAGTCCCCAAACACTGAACAGAGTGTTGTTAGTATTTCTCTGGGCTGACTGTTGATTAGCAGACAAACAATATTTATGACCGAGTCTCCAAAAATGTCTTAAAATGTATGTGTCAATTTTCTCATGTGAATCATAGAGGCTGACATTCTTGTCACTTTAGTTTTAAACATGTTCATAAAAATATGTGCTGCATTTTTTCTCTTAAACTAGTCCCAAAGTTGTTGCGTGCGTCTCAAACCCATCTCAATTTAGTATCCTAGTATATTCTAGAGTTTCAGAGCTACAATAAAGCTCTTCTTATGAGAGAAAACATCTGAGGCTACAGCCCGGAACATCCAGGTCAAAAACCCATGCAGATAATAAACAATAGTCATTAAAACAAATAATTAAAATCTGTCCATTTTCATTTTTAAAGTTAGTCCAATAAATTAAATCATGAATGGGGACAGCTCCCAAAGTGGGTACAAAATGAGCTTGGTTATGACATAATGTGCACAGCCAAACTGTTTTGCAAGGTGTGCACATGACAATAAGCCATGATTTTAAAAATAAATAAATAAATGAATCAGCTTATTGTGTGACTGTACGCTCACTGGTCACTTGGTAGCAAACACAGCATTCAGTGAGACTTCCATGGAAGATTTGACCAATTTCTTGCAATTTGGAGTTATCAACTAATTTCCAAAATTTGCAGCTGCATAGCTACTACTCTTCAGATGACGCAACACCATAATAATCATATTATTTCTGAAACACTTTTTTTTTTTTTTTTTGGAATTTAAGTTGAAATATTGAGACATTAACAAAAGGACAGCTTCTGATAAAATATTTTAACGGTTTTCAAATTTTTGTATTCAGTTTTGTATTTTTAGGCTGCAGTATCTGACTGGGGTCAAGTGGAGTCTGCTTTGCTCTGTCCCTGTCAGATAGAGTTGAACCTTGATATTGTACTTTTAAAGTTGGGAATTTTGAAAGACAGGCATGATGTTAACAATCCAAGCAGTACAAGCTCAAGTGCTATCACTTTTAGAAGCTGTGGCATGTCAAAGTCCAAAAGCACTGGATCATACACCTCACGTAACATAGCTTGACAGCATCCTTTTATTACTCATTGTGTGTTGCTGCATGATGAATGTCCCACACGCCAAGATGAAATAAGAGCCTGTCTAGCTGATATGGATGAGAGCAAACCTGACAGTCGTGTATGTGTCAGTGGCAGAAGAAAAATTGCTGGTTAACATCTGACTACGGTTAGTGAGAGTGCTGGTATCTGCCAGAACAGATGACCTGCCAGGGTAGAGAATTGCCCTGAGGCTGGATTAGACTATCAAGTAAAGACAGGACAGGCCCGACATTGAAGGAAGTTTCCAGTCACAATTTACGTTTTGTGGACTATTCCAAACTATTCATGTCAGAAATATGGATTGAAACACTTGAGAACAATGAATGACTTTAAAACTTATTTTATAATGTCAAGAGTAGTGCACAGAATATTTTAAACCTCATCAATTTCCAGCTCAACATGGCGACAAAGAAGCATTGATGCGGGATTCATGTGACCCACTACCAACACACAAAATGCTGTATTTTCTTAATTATGTCTAACCTGGTCTGTTTCTGCTCAGCTTGCCCAGGGCTGTCGCTTTACTATGAAATAATTACTACAAATTTAGTGCATTCGCATGATTGGGTACATGGGATTTTCCTGTGTCTAAACGGAGGCTCTGCTCCATGTCAGGGGAACAGTGATACAGTGTGGAGCCAGATTTATGCTGTTGTAATTAGGATGGACACGAGCTTAAAGGCAACATTCAGTTTGAGTTTTAAAACCAGCATGTAGGAGCTCTTCAGAGGTTAGCACAAGGTTGTGGGAGATTTATGCACAGAAAAAAGAAACATTGCGCGAGTTAAAAATAGACAAAACTTTGATGCAAACTTAAAGAGTTCCTTTGAAATCCCCTTTTCACATCCCCACATATCTTCCATTTTACTTTTTGTACAAGCAAAGCAGACAGGTTGAACTCCTCAGGTTCTAACAAGCGGCTTCAACTCCGATGGTAACTTTATAAGACATGACAGTTTAATATTTAGTGTTGATTTCCATCAGTATAATGTTGTATTTGAGTTGGAGGCCTGAGCCATTTAGTCACATACTCTCCACAGCGTGAGCCGAGAACGTGACACCCGTCCAACATCACAACCAACATCTGTCCCGCCAAAAACTCCCAGAAGCATCTCTAACACTCCCAGCCACATAGAAGCAGTCATTAGAAGCTCATTTGCGTTCCCACAGATAACATCGCCACGTGTGCCGCCTCACATGAGCGGCACCACAGGGTGATCTGGCAGATGTCAGAGTGGCAATTCTTAACCAATCGCTGCAACAGCCGAGCCGCGGTGGTCCTGTTTGGTTGTAATTTTTCTGTGGAACTTGCCTGTTGCTTTTTTTTTTTTCTTTACATTTAAAGACAGATGGCTGAAGGTTTGTGTTGGCCTCAAGCCCAGATTTGACACCAAAACAGTGAATTAGAGAAGAAAATGAGAGAGAAGGGTTCTAAAAGGGGTTTGCGGCTGTAATATGAGTTGGGAACGAATCGATTTGACTTGGAGTTAAATTTCAAGTTTTTTTATATTGGCTAGCAAGAGCCTGGAAAAGTAGCCGAGGTTTTGGAGGCTGTGTGGTGTTGGAGTGATACACAAAATGCTATGCATCTCTAATCTCCATCACCAACAATCTTCAAAATGTGCCAGCTGAACATTATTTAACCCCGTGTGTTTCAGGTTCAAACTTTGTGACTCGTAAGATCAGCCGTTCTGTGGCAAAGATCCACCTGGGCCAACAGGAGAGCTTCAGCCTTGGCAACCTGGACTCCAAAAGGGACTGGGGCCATGCCAAAGACTACGTGGAGGTAAAAAAAAAAACACCCAGTCATTATCACACACAAGCCTAGAGAAAGCCACATAAACTGTGCACTGCTTCAAAGCTGAACAGCGTTCATATATACACAAAGCATTAACGGGCCGTGTTTTCCCAGATCATTTGAGGCCGTAATATGTGATCTGCATGAAGCCTCCTATGATTCTCTGCCAAAAGAGATTCAGAGATACAGCAAGAACGGGGCAGTGGGAGGAGAAGGAGAGGGCTGCATGCTGTGAGGCCACAGACTGCACTCTGGTTTCCCACAACTCACCCACGTCCCAGATCCCTTCAGGCCCCCATTGCCATTCCTCTAATGGCTGCAGAAGAAAGAGAAATATTACGAGAACGCTGCGGCCCAGGGACGATGACAGAAATACTGTGTTTGTGTTAAGGTAATGGTGCCAGCAGCACGCAGAGAGAAGAGTAGCGAGATGAAACGAATAGCGGGGTCGCATTGTCCAGGAGCCGACACACTCTGAACGTGTGTGTTTTTCCTCTGGGTGTATGCGTGTGCATTCCTGTGTGTGTAAGTGTGTGATAGGTCAAGGTTGGAACACTTGTGCGCGGCTGTTGAGATGAAAGTCTCGATGGGTTGCCATGTCTAACAGCAAACCCCTTGAAACTGTGTTATTATTAGGAGGTGAAGGCGGTGCACATGTTGGTGGCGGGGGAACTCTGAGATGTGAGTTTGGGGTGAGGAGGTTACCGCGTGGTGCTTCAGTTTAACAGCAGAGCGCAGTGTGGGGTCAGTGTGTCAGAGCTGGTGGTTCATGCTGTTAAGGAGGAGCGGGAAGGATTAGCAGTGTCAGTAAAGCATCAGTCATTATGATTAAGAGTAGACTGTTGACCAGTCACATGCATGTGGGCCTGAAACTGCCAAAAACCAAGAATATATAAACATAGAAATTGTAAAATGGCTCACTTTATATGTCTAACTTTTCCAATTCTGCATTCCTGTTTCATTAGGAGCAGCTGTTGTTCAGCAGTGGACCTAGTCAGAAAACCAAGGATTTTAATACTCAGCCCTGTTGCATGCCACACTCTCTTTGGGCAAGACACTGTTTCCCTAATGCCTAAACATGTTCATCAGTGAACAATAGAGTACAGACATGTGCATATACATGTTAGACATTAGAAAATAGAATTATTATCAGTAAAAGTAGTGTTATACTGGGTTGCAACTGTCGGAGATTAGTTGGTGACTAAAATTAAGGAGTTCACAAGAAAATAGGCAGATTTTTCATCGCAGTCTCACTGAATCGAGTGTTTGTGACCAGCAAGCTGTGCAACTGTTCTGAGCTATGCATTTTTTGAAAGTCACAGCCTATCTTTGTGTGCACGGCTTGTAAAACTGTATTCTACGCTTCTTTTGGATGAAAAACGAAACGTTTCTTTCAAAAAGAAACTGTCCAGATGACACGATTTACCTTTTAATGTGATATAACTACCTGGATGATTGAGCTTACCCCCCCACCACCACCATTTTTTTTTAAATTCTCCGCTGTGCACATTATTTTCTTTCCCGCATTTGATGTCAGAGAGCTCCTTTGTAGATGCCACAATGCAGCTGTAGCGCTCTTGAGACGGGTTGGAGACCCCTGCAACAAAATTGAGATGGATTTGAGACACCCATATGTTACAATGGTTTCTACTCTTTGTGTTTCTTTAGTGTTTATGATTTTGGCAGCAAGTCGAGGTATGTTTCATATCAGCCACAGGCCAGAGATTACAGTGATCGTATAACATCTAACGTAATGCCAGTACTGTATGGAAAAGGTTTGATCTCTTTATTGATTTATGAGTGATCAAATTTATGTTTACTTAATTTCAGAGTAGGAATAGCTTTTCTTAAGCAGAAAATACTTATTTACGAGCTGTTATTAAAATTTTAAGGCAGATAGGCTGCTGCTTAATTTGCTTACTGGGTATCTTTACTATGGAGGGGGATGATTCTGGCAGTAACGCCGAGTTCACCCAGGGCCCTAGTTTCCACTTTATAATCCTTTCAAAATAAAGTACGATGGTAGAAACATGGGGGTGCTCCGAGTTGGTTCTTTTCTGTTTTGGAAAAAAGCAGCCCGCCTGGAAAAGTTCTGTTAGGAAACAACTTGGCATGTCCCTGTGAAGGGGCTTGTGTAAAATAAATAGATTGTGACGATCGCAATAATTCTTCAGATTTGCAGATATTAACTATTAAATTAGTCTTAAAATATTAGACAATTACTCCTCATATATAGTTATTGAAAATGTAAACAAAGTACAGTGAAGGTGCTTGATATTTTTTATGTATGTCTGGTCCAGTCTGCAGAAATTATAATAAAAATCATAATTGGACAGTGCTAACTTTATATGTGTAATTAGTGTACATCCAGGATCTTTGATATTGTCTTGAAAATCATTGAGCTACATTTAAATTGCAAGTTTAGCTCGACTAAAAACGTCTGTGGCTTCCTACATTTAGCATCTACATTTATAAACCAAGAACACCTCTTCCTGTTGCACAAGTAAAACTCAGCTACTCCGGACTCTGTGAGAAAGTGTCTTTATTTCGCCGTTCTATTCTTACTGAGCGCTTGTGTACGTGCAACCTCCTACAGCGAGCTTTGTGTGTGAGCGCACTTGCCTGTCTAGTCCACCCTGGTTTGAGATGCACCAGGTTTCCTGTGGGAACTATGACATTCTACTTCTGGTGAATCAGGCGGAAAAGGCTTTTTGAAATACATTTTTTTGGCTTGGGTGGGGGGAGTTAAACAGAAGCTGGAGGTGCAGAGGGGAGCTGAGGTGGAGGAGAAATCTGAAAAAGGACAGGGGGAACAGACGTGTGTTAGTGGGATGCTTTTACATTATGCATAAGTGAACCACCCAGCAGACCATCAAAGGCTGTGACTGTCACACAGACCCCCCACCCCCCACCCCCTCTCAGTTTGAAAACCCAACCATCACTAAGTTATCCTGGCAGAACCAAGCAACTGCCTATCTGTAAACAGAAACATGTGTGTCTGCTTCAGGCTGACAACTACTTTTCGTCCCTCTCTGTCTCCCTCTCGTCACCCCACCCAGCACAGGGAAATTGCTTGTAATTGGCTGTGGATGGATTGCGGGTGGCAGGAGGGGCGTGCTATGTGTCTGCCCTAACAACGTCTGAAGGCGTGAGGCTGGCTGGGCATCGTCTCCGCCGGGTATCGGGTGTCCATCCCAGGCAAGCAGACCGACCTCGGGCTTCCCGGCTGCTCTCAATGAAGCCCTTTATTATTATTGTAATGCGAAATAGATGTTGGGAGCCGAACGCTCTAGTTTAAAATCTGCAGATAGAATAATTTAAATCCCCCTGATCTCATTTTCCGTAAGGGGGTTTGGAATTTTTCAGTCTGGTGACTGTTTAATGCATAATGCGGTTCTGTAGTGAGTATGATACAGGACAGATGTCTGACGCTGAGCTTGCCAAAAAAGAAAAGGAAACCCACAGTTATCACTCACAAAACGTATTAAATGAGTTAACAAAGATGCAGCAGTAGGCTGCCTTTACTAAGGATTGTCCTCTTTCCTGCTCCTGGGTACAGTTAAGTGAATCCTGATCATTACCTACGTCTGCTGTTTGGCTACAGAGAGCCATTTCTTGCTCACAGAAGCAGGCTGGCTAAGAAGGAGCACGAGCTAATGTTCATATGGTGTATTTTTTGTCCCCCGTTGCGGAGTTAAAAGGGGAAATTAAAAACACTCTCCGTCTGTCTGTGACTGTTGTGAGCTGGATAAGTTGAAACATAAGCAATGGGCTAACTTGCTTTTTGGTGTTTGACTTCTAGGTATAAGGAAGTTTCCTGTAAAAACTAGACTGAAATGGCAAAATCCAAGATGGCCGACCCACACACACACACATATGGTCAAACCAGCCACCCCTATCATTTGAGGAAACAATGCATTTCTAGTTTTTATATTACTTAAAAGTATAGCTTTGTCAAATGGGTGGGTTGGTCGAAGATTAATCTGTGGTGGCCCAGGCCGCCCCCTGGCTCCACCATTAGACCTGGTGGTGGATAAAATTACTCCTCTGCTTGCCAGGATCCGTCACTCTGCACCACCTCAGACAAGAATAAAACTCCTGTTCTTCTCCACAGTGTAACTCCTGCCCACTTGAACGTCTTGCACCAAAAATATTAAGGTTTTCTTGCAATCCCTGTTCAATTCCAGTCCACATAAACACTCATCTGGATAAGTACAAACTTTCACTGTTTAAATCCTTCACTGCCGAGGGACATTGGTGCACTGCTTGTTTCTTGTGTTTCTTTATTCTGCTTGACTTTATTGCTGCCATTTCAACTGTTTCCCTTTCCACTTTGCATTTCTTTTCCTTTGACATCCAACAAACAACTTGTCTTTATCCCCCTAGCATTGAACGGGAGCATTGAACTACAAACTGTTGCCAGATGAAATGTTGACCTGCTGACACAATGTCCTGACGAGTCCCTGCTCTCGTCTCGTTGGCAGACTTCTTTTTAAGTTCTAATCAACTGTGAAACAGTTTAGTGAAAGGTGTGTCAGTGTGATGTGGGTTAGCTGATGTCTGACTTTTGGCTTTCTGTCAACCAGTGAGGTGACACTACAACCCCACAGGTGTCGGTTTACACCTTTTTTTATTTTTATTAAGCTTTTTTTTTTGCCACAGCTGCCTCTCTTTGCAGTAATGGTTGCAGATTAGAGTAATTAACCAGTCACCGTCTGAATCAAGTCCAATCACAGCTGACTTAAAGCAGTGGTTCATCTATACCTTTGGTAATAAGAGTGCACGTATTCTACTGTAAGAAATTCACGTTCACACGTTGAACATTTCACTGGCTTCAGAGTAAACCAGTGTACAACAAGACCAGATCACTTCCTGAAGTTTTGTGGAATAAGCACTAGGGCTGAACAATTTTGGAAAATATTCTAATTGCGATTTTTTTGTTTTTTTTTTGTTTACCTCAATATTGCAATTTCGATTTAATATGCGAT